CCAAACATCAATCACAGCCACATATTGAGATGATCTTAATTTGAACCACAAGTATTTGGAAAATTAAAACCTTGCGCTTGCCATTACCGAAAAAAAAAAAAAGGGGGGGGGGGGGGGTCGGACCACAAATTTGCGGCGTCTCTGGTCTTCTTTGATGTGAAAAGTAGTCCCCAGGGACTGACTCTGAATCTGACGGGGGACTGAGGGAAGAACACAACCCCTCTAGCTGTGGGAGAAACCATCAATGCATCGCAGAAGCAACTTGAGAAAGACAACCACCAAACCGACATGATAGCCAAAGGTTGTGACGTGAAAATGCTGTGACAAGTCGTTGGAAAGAACATTGTCATCATTATCGTCAGAAATCAACCTGTAAATCTTAAAGATCTAGAAGACTCGCGTTAAATAAAGTATCTGCCAGCCTGGAACATATGTTAGAATCAAGAAGCACTAAAAACCCCAAAAAAGTCTGTTCAAAACCCTAAAAATATAGCTACTCTCACAGCACTACCATTTAATCTCATTTCAAAACTTGTCTCATTAATCCATTTATTTGATGACATAAGGCTATTTTTTTTTTTTTGCTTTAATTCACTCATCTAGGAACTACGCCTATCTCTACTAAGAACACAGACACATGCCAAATGTTCCCAGAGAGTGTGTGTATGTGCACAGACGCACACACAGAAACCCCTTCCTGTTTTCAAAGTGTTTGGAAACTCAATCAAAGACACAAGGTTTAGGATTTACATCTGTGTCCTTTTATGTCTGTGGCCTCGCAGGAAAGAACCATCTCGGCCCAGCTGCAGCGAAGAGCCGACAACAAGGCCCGGCCTTTATGCTCCCGCATGCTGCACAACTGCAAACAATATCCACAACTCAGACACTTAGTGTTAAAAGCACTTCTTAGAAGCACTGAGATATGGTCCATGAACATCAGAGGCTCTTCTTGACAAAGAAATGAAGACATGCCCCGCTATCTGGATGGTGTGATGAAGACACAACAGTTTGTAAGTGTAAACAGGCTTCGTATGTCCACATTCGTCTTACAAATGATCAATCATTTATTTGAAATTCTCTGTGAAAACACTGCTGACATTTATGCCAGTTTATGCCCGCTCCTAAAATACTTGAAGAGGAAATGAAAATTATAAAGAGGAAGTGGCTCGGGTTTAAAATACCGAAAATCCAGGCATAAATCTGACCATGGGAATGGAACAGTGCACCACTATACACAAGGCCTGCTCAGTGTGTTGGCTTGTGGTGGTTACAGACAGTCCCTATGGCCTCTGGTAGCACAGAGAATCATTGTCATACATCACACACAAAAATAAGATAACTTCTCATTTCTGTATGCAACTTTAAGGATTACACAACTATACACCTTAAGTTAATAAAGTGAAACTTGAAGGGATTTAATGTAAGGGAGCTTCAATTTGAATTACTTTTCAATCTAATATATTGGGTGACAATTCCAAGCAACTATTAGTGAGACGCTGTAACAGTTGTCTCTTAAAGATATCTTTAAAAAAAAAAAAAGAAGCACATTTCATTAGTCTGTGAACCGCTGTAGTCACAAGCAACACTTCCCTATAAGAATACAGAAGCAAAACTAAACGTGCGTTCAGCTGAGCAGTCCAGCCAAAAGGTGAGATGTTATGGCTTAGACTAGTTCAGCTAGCAAAGCTAAGTGTTCGTGGAGGTCTTGCCCAACAACTGGCAATAACCCCAAATAATACCGTCTATAAAAAAAAATAATAATAAAAAAAAAAAAGGTCCAGGAAATGATTTAGCTTAACATAAGGGCCACAGGATATAGCCAATTACCAAGGCCGTAAAGCACTCTGCCCAACAGCTGAAGAAGCTGTCTCCTTTTGTCGTTTCAGAACATGATGGGGGTTGTTTGGGAGGAATGTGTTTGGAAAAGCTCTGCAACAGGACTAAGAGTGCAAAACAGCCCTCAGGTGATAAGATCATGACACCCACATAGGCAGATAAAACGCTGAGCTGTCAAATCAATCACGCAGATAGGAAGGGGACACAGAGAGAGGAGTCACCTGACTGGTAAAAGACAATAAGCACAGAAGTGAAGGACTGTAAAACAATAAGGATGTACCCTCTAAGTTGAAGGGAACACAGGGGCAACTGAACTTCAATGAACATAGGGGTGAGGGATTTTTTTTTTTGTCTTTCTGTAGGCCAATACAACTTCAACTCAACATTCTCCACCACTTAATCTTCTAATGTTAGAGATATACTATACACAAATAAGGAAGTACCTGTACAATGGACTGAAAAAGACTACAGCCTAATTGTGATAAATATTGTAGCAACATTCAATACAAGCTACTTCAACAATCATGACCATTATCTTTGTCTAAAATTGCCATAAGCCTTACATCACACCACACCAAGAGAAGACGCAAACCAAAATATGACAAGGCTGTAGTATTTGCCTTCTTTTCCTTTCAGCCTTGTGAACATAGTTGCACCAAGGCCAAGTAGCATGTTCTCAGCAAAGGGTGTGCTGTGTGTGTACAACAGCTTGGCTTACCACCCATCACTCACACTAAACCACTTCAGGACACTCCTTTCACACATTTTGGGGATAGATTTTAGATAGTGATTACACTGCAAGTTACAGAAGAACAGACACTTCATTACTTCTCGAAAAAAAAAAAATCTCACACGAAGACTGGTATTGGTTTCAATCTAGTAAAGATAATAAAGACAAGGCAGGTTTCTTACACTGTTTTGCAAGAGACTCATAAAACATCAGCATTTATTTTATCAATGGAACAATGGAACAGAGCACATTATCAAATGTTAAGAAAAACGTGAATGATTCCATTGTCTATGTGTTTCTTCTTCTTCTATATATGTTTCTTCCCATGCTACGTTATGTATACCTTTGTACACTACGTGCAAAGCTGTGACAACACAAAGTACTGTATTGAATAAAATTTTTGGTTTTGGTCTCTGTAAAGATTGATCAAATCAAAAAGTATCTTATTGTTGATACCTGTCATTGGACAGACCATTTCTTAAGCGAAAATGAATGGCTCCTGTGTTCTGTCCACCCAATTACTATGAATCACACAAGAGTCAGAAAGATGGTGGAATCATAGCAACAATGTTAAGATCACTTCGCCATCTTAGCTGCTGCCATCATGCTGTGAGAAAAAAGAAAAACAGCATATACTGTAGCCTGCACAGCTACAGCTCTGATGATCTATACAGCCTATGTGGCAGCAGTTCCCAAAGTGGTGCCTGAGGGGTCTCGAGATGTCCCTTAGGTCAGTGCAAGAAGTCCCACAAAAATTCAGGTATGCTTTACTGCATTTTCTGACACTAGAGGTTTAAACTTCATTGAAATAGCAGCTTATACAACTAGAACATAAAAACACTAAGTTATGTTGTATTTTAGTTATGGTACATTGTGAATGACTGCACACAAAAAAAAAAAAAAAATTATAGATTTCCTTAAAATAGTATGTGATGCATTGTGGATGAGTGGTTTCAAATACATTTTGTTGAGGCTTTATATGAAGAAAAGGCACTGCATGACATGTGTTACATAAAAAAAACAGAAGTGTAGTTCAAGGACAAGGCCTCTATGCATTATATCAAACAACCTCTTAGAGGCTAGATATATGCAATGGGGGGGAAACCATGGGTGTGTTTCGAGTATTAAACCATGACACTGTAAATGAATGAAAGGGGCATATGACTTCCTCTGTGACAAATACATTATCAAAGAGATAGTGGGGGGGGGAGGAGAGAACACGTCGCTTATATCGAACACATGCGGCGCTTTTGTTAAATAAGCGACTATTTATAGACAAGATGTTGCGTTTAAGTGCGATGCATTGTGCAGTAAAAGAAAAGAAAAAAAAAAAAAGCAGGAAATGTGATCATTGTGTGATCGTCGGTGCAATGCGAAACAGTGTACAGTGCTGTGAATGGGCAGGCAGGTACTTTATGAATGGAGGGGATCATGTGACCGCAGCACCTCCCGAAGCAGATATTTCTCACTGACTGTCAACAAGCGCACACAAGGGATCAGCCCATTAAAACAAAAGCAAAATGCGACTGGAAATGGGCGCGACGCGTCCAAAAAAAAAAAAACACCTCACGTTCACATGACAAATATAGACCGTGGGGTTTGCGGAGGGAGGGGGGGGGTGTTTGGGCGTGCGTGTGACGCCTTTTTTTTTTTTAAAGCGTTTTTTTTTTTTATGAATGGAGATTGTGGTATGTAAATGAGTGCGATTGAGAAAAAAAAAATGGCATCTACAGCTCCTCAACGTTGACATTGCCGCAATCGACTCGGGCCAGTTTTTCCATGAAAGAAAAGGCTTTACTTAAAAAAAAACACAAAGACGATGTTCTCCATTATAACGCTTGATTATGATCGGAAATAATGGCGGACAACAGTAACACACGGATATGGACTCGTCAAAACAAGGCATTCTGAAAGCGATGCACCTAACAGACAGGCTTTGTATGTCATATTTTAAAACAGAATTCACACTGTGTCGACTCATCGCTGAAATACTGCCTCATAACTGGCAAGTCTTTAAAGCAATAATGCATTTCCTCAACATGCTTGTGTTGTAAAAGCAATTAAATGACGGACACCATAAATAAAACGTTCCTATATCGCACATTAGAAGTGTATTGTGGCCTTTATTGTTAGCTATTTGAATCAGAAATGATGTTTTTACTAAGCATCCTTACGTTATGCCATTACTTGTCACACTATTTTCATCATAAACTAATAACATAATTCATATATGACATGCAAAGCAAACAAAAAAAATAACTCGTCTGTGTCTGTTAATATTAGAAAAGTCAAGATGATGGGGAAAAACTACTTGGGTTACATGTCAGTGTGAACTTAAAAGGCATGTGTGTGATATCTTAACGTGTGCAGTTCACGCAGCTTAATGTTACATGTGTGATTAATGTAGAAAAATGGTTGTTTTGTGTGCACTTACTCGTTGTTTGGATTTGTTGAATCTTCACTCATTTTTTTCCTCACGGGGATCCAAATCCTAGCAATAGCATCGACGACGCAGTGACGGCGGGATAAAACACCACAAATATCACCATTTTTCCCCCCTTCACATACAGGAATTACCCCCCCACACACACACTATTTCGGATAAGCATGTAAACACTGTTCCAACGGGGGGCATGCCTAACTAACTAAGCGTCCCTGTGATGATGTGCCAAGTGAAGCTAGCTTCACGTTAGCTTTTGCTGCCGGGAACTAAAACGTTAAATCGCGAGGAGGAATGACAATCGTTGATTCATTTTTATCCTCCCTGGACGTAAATTCCGACCACAACAAATGGGCCATCGGCATCATCCTCCTCGTCAAAACGCGAATCCCCCCTTTTGCAAAAAAAAATAGATCCTCAAAAAACCGTAGAAAACGTTGTGAACTGTAACGTCTGGCAGATTATTTATGTCTGGCTGTCGAGCATCCATTCGCCAACTTCAGGTCCTGAACAACACTTGGGAGAGAAAAAAAAAAAAAAAAAAAAAAAAAAAAAGCAGCGCTGTGGAGCCGTTTGCTCCGTCAACGTGTCCGAGTAATCTGCAGTAAAGGCATCCAATAAAAAAAAATTAAAAAAAAACCGGGGGTCCAAATGTTTTCAATACGAGCACAGGCGTGTTAAAGTAAAAGCACACAGCGATGAAAATTCCCCCTCAGAAGTTGGTGGACATCTGCTTTAATCGAACTCCATTTTCAACTCGGGGGGAATGAAACATCGGAAAACTGGGCGGATGTGTCGACCCTCGCTTGAGAAAATTAGATCCTTCCGCGACGTAGTAAAAACACAATACCCTCGCGATCTAAAATCCTCCACCGACACATCGTTTACGTGTCTTGTTATTTTATCAGTAGCGCGTGGTCCGCTAAATAACACGCTGTTGTAGCCGGTGTGTGTGTGTGTGTGTGTGGGGGGGGGGGCAATCTATTCGGAGTGTTTCCTTCCAAAAGTTGACCTAAAGTAGTCCCCGCACTTCCCAAAAGAAGTTTCCCCTTCAATCACGCATTGATACAAGAGGGAAGCGTCTGTGTGATAGCACGCAAAGTAGAAAATAATCTGGAGGAAGGACTTGTGCCGACACTCGCAGGCTCGGCCATTAACAATTTCTGTTGTTTTCTTTCATTAAGCAGCTTCACTGTGATCCACCGCCCACGAACCACTATCTTAAACCTTCAATGTAAGATTGTGGGAAACTACTTTAAACGTGTACAGATACGAGTGCTCCTGCACGTGGAATTTAATAAGACCCCCCCCCCCCTTCTAGATTGTGTGAATGAACTAATGTAGTTCTAGTGTTTTATTCAGGCTATTCCTATTTTATTTTTTATTTCATGAGTCCTAATATTACAGTTATAACGTATAGGTTTGAATCAAAAGGCTGTTAAATGAAAGGGTGATGTTTTCTGAAACATAGCTCTTGTATTTTAGAGGCATAGTCAAAATGACTTTATTTGCGAAATAGGTAATTTTTGTAAAGTAAAGCATTGCATAAAACTCCAGAAGCCAGTAGCAAGGGTCTTGGGGTAACACTATATAATGGGAGGGGGGGGGGGCTATCAAAAGTCCAGGCATAGAGTTAAAGCTACCCCAACCTTTAATGCCCAAACTCTTGCACATCCAACCAATTAAAATAACAGACATGATCATGTATGCACCTATATGAATCTTATTTGCAAAAAAAAAAAAAATGTTAAAGCCTTGCAGAGTGAATCAGTGGCCTGGTTGCGTAAGACTTAAATGCTATTGGATTTCTGTGCTGTGTGGAATGGCAAGAGATCAGGCTAAATGATTCTGCCTGGTTGTCATAGTGACAGCATGTTGTGTGAGAAGTTTCTTTGTATTGCTCTGGCTTTCATACAGCTTGTGCCACAGCCCTATGTTGAAGCCATAAAAAACATCCCTCTGTGTCACTGTATATAGATAGCCCATGAACACCGGACAATCACACATGTAGCCCTGACATATATTACTCGTGTGGGTGTTCCATTAGATTTTCTGTCTGAGGTGCACTTCTATCCGCGGAGCAAAAGGTTACAGTCTCCTTTGATCTTCTCCCACCAAAACAATCTGATGTAAGCATGCCATAATTGTTACGCTAGCTTATTCACACAAACAGTCCGCATCTCTAATAAGTCTAACGTTGGGTAATGAAGTGACAGAAGGTTCTCTGTCTGCATTTTAGTAAATGTGACGACTTGTCTTCCCTTTTTGAACTGGGTAACCATTGTCACAATCAAGCCCAAATAAAGTGTTCCTTGTTTCAAATAGAGTAGGGGAAAAAAACAGTGACTATGAATTTTCCCACTAGCATGCCTGTATTCTTTAGAGTATTCAGAGTTCAGGAAGTCAGCCATCTTTCTCATCTCACAAATGTTGATAGTCCGAGTGCATTTCCTGTGTTTTTCACACACTGAGCACAACACACTGTTGTGTACTTAAACAAGGCAACAGGATGTTTAACTAACACAGGCATTCTTTCATTCTGCAGAGGAAATGACACTCATTACATGAAACAAGTTTTCTATTTGACTTTTTATGCAATTATCAAATAGAGTTTTCATTTCTAGATATTTGTAGCTGATATGAATGTATGAAGTGTGTGTCGATCTGTAGGTCTGTAGTTTGGGGTTGAGTATGTTTTCAGGGGCTTTAAACAAATGGGACAAAAAAAGAAAACTCAAAGACATCTTTACTGAAATTGAATAGTCATAATGGATAGGTAAAGGGAAAAACCAATATAGGTTATATACAAAAAAAAAGTCAAAAGTAGCATTGGAGATTTGTTCTCAATATTGCACCATAAAAACTTGAATCAGATGACGTCCATAGAACACAGGTGATGTGATCACCAGCTATCAGCAACCTCTGGTCACAAGAGAGGAGAAGTGAAGGCCTCTCTTTGTACATCAGCTACGGAGAGGAAATTCAGTGTCTTTGTAGTCGCCGCCATACAGTCTGTTGAGACCTGAGGGCAGTTAGTGAGAAAGACCGGAGATGGTTAATAACAGTTCTAATCCCAGGGTCCTCTGCCTTAGTTTTATATTACATGCCTCATTTTTCTACAGTAGTTTCTTGCAAAAACAAAGGTTATTGCACTTTTATTTTTTTCTGTCAATGTTTGCTTTCCATTCTTAAAAAATGTGCACCTGTAAAGTTTCAGTTTGTCTGTGGGACATCTAGCAGAACTGCTCTGCATTCATGGAAACCCTGGCCAAGAGGTGTGGCTTAAACAAGAGGTGCTGATTTTTAAAGACCTGGCAGCTGAACAAAACAATGCATACCTATGATTAGTGTGGGCCTGGCCTCGGAAGCCTGCAACTTTTAGGCACGCTAATTGCAGGGTGGTGAGCAAAAAAGGTGTAGTGGCTAGAGGGGAAGGAAGTGTGAGGGCCTTCAGGCATGTTTGACTATGTGCTGTGTACTCTCCCTGTCTATCTTTCTGTGTGTGTGTGTGTATGCACATGAGCCGTGTAGAACTGAAGAACATTTATTTTATTGCTTAATCATACTCAGATACTAGAAATCGTTGTTGTTGATTGAGCAGTATGAGGGGATTTTCTTTTCCAAGATTTTGTTCCAAGAATGTCTTAGAAGAGAGATGGATGTGGATAACTAGATGAGCAATGTGTGTCAAGCTGAAAGAGTCAGTCTTGTGACCGTGTACAGAGATGTTGGTTCAGATGGAAGGTCATTAAGGCTGCTGAGCCCTTGACAGAAACACATCCCTGAGATTGTCTAAGGTCTGTAAATGGTTAGAATCTGAAGTATGTGAGCATCTGAAACTGACAGTGGAGAGTTTTTAAGGGGGGGAAATACTTTGTCTGCTGTGCTAATGTTTAGAAACAACTGAAATGACTGGTAGAGAACTGTGATGCAGATATAGTTTAATGCTTTATTTGACAGCTTAGATAAATTACACTTTGTAATGTAAAACAAGGGTAAGGTAGTCGGTCACTCTTCTTTACATTTCCTGTTTGAAACTAGGATTGATTCAACTCAAGCCCTCTTTATAGTGCATTTGCACCGGTCGCTAATGTCTTCACTGCAAAAATGGAGAACTAAATTGGTTTCAGCCGCAGCTAGGCTTTGCACTGCTCAAGACTCTGTTACTTCCTATTGTTTGCATGTTGTGCGTGGGCTTGATTGAAACCTGATCTAGCTGGGGAAGCTGTGTTTAGGGTGAGGTGGACAGGCCTTTGTTGCTGCCTGAGGGGTGTTTATTTGGGCGGCTTCAGTTGGCTTCCCTGTAATCATCATCCAGCCCCACAGGATAGAAGGGATTAATGAATATGTTGGAGGGGAAGTTACAGATGACTATTTACTATTCTCATGGGGATGAGAGGGAACAGCAGGCGAGACGCAGGCGAAAAAGAAGACGTTTGTGTGTGTGTGTGTGTGTGTGTGTGTGTGTGTGTGTGTGTGTGTTTGTGTTTGTGTTTGGGTGGGCACGTGCATGCATGTTTGTGTGCATTTAAGAATGAGACTCGGGCAAAGAGCGCCGGAAGGACATAATTGCTGTATTATAATGAGCTTGTATTGTTTTTTTCTAAATTGGTGGTTTTAACTTAAGAGAGTTGACATTCGATTAAAACACTAATTGCTTTCATTCACAGATTCGGACAAGGGGATTGGTTACATTTGTGATTATACTTGTGTCCCACCATGTTAGCTAGCTTAGCATCAAGGCTGGAAACGGCTAGCGCAACGTGTTGTTTACGGTTTCATTTTGTTAAACAATCACATCATGACGTATTTGAGAGAGATTTAGAGGTTCTGGCAGTTTTTGTTAACTTCTAACAGAGTCAGGCTGTTTACCTCAGTTTCATTCTGAGGTTCCTCATTCTGAGTTTAGCTAACCGGTGGTATTTTCATTTTGAAAAACCTAAAGGACTGTCTGAATTTCTTAAGATGTGTTTTCATGCCAGAGATTTATTGAAAAGATTGATGCCTTTTCCATGTTAGCTTAGCACAAACACTTGAAATTGGGCGAAACAGCTAGCTAAAGCTGTTGTTTTAATAGTTTGGTCTTTGCCACAAAAACCACATCATAATGTGTTTGAGTGCGAATAGGAGGCGCTGCCATTCTCATGTCAACAGCTTTTTAGCTAACTTGGGACAAAGACTTAAAGGGGTGAAATAGCTTGCCAAACTTGTTAAATTTACAATTGAGTTTTTGTTGAATAAACACATCATAATGTATTTGAGTGACGGAGCACAATTCTACCTCAAAACTAAACCCTACTGCCTCTGCAGCCGTTCCATCTCCCATACTCACCACTTGCCTGGAGGAGATAAAAGTGTGGATGAATCACAACTTCCAACAACTTAACAGCTCAAAAACTAAAGCCATTTTAGTCAGAACTCCACCCAGAGTCCAGTCATCCAACAAAACCAGTATACCCTTCTGGCCAGAGCTTTCCACTCATCGATCACAAACATGGTGCAAAAATTGACCCCCCATTGACCTTTGAGGCCCACATCAAACAACTGTGCAAGAACTCCTTCGACCATCTCTGAAACATAACCAAACTCTGCCCATCACTCACTCTCCCAGATGCAGAGAAGCTTGTCCATGTATTTGTCTCTTCCAGGCTGGATTAATGCAATCAATGTATTCTCACTCATCAGTGCATCCACGTTACTGCCCTGCCTACATCAAGGATCTCCTCACTGTAGGGACGGGTCATGATTTTTGAATAATCCAATAGTCCTTTAAATGAAAAAGTTAACTTTTTGTGCAACCTCATCTCATCTTTGAAATATAGATATTTTTTCCGTTATTTTTTTTAGGGTTGTAACACATGCGTCCTGACTGTGTCTGTAGCACCTTTCAAAGCTGTTTGCTGACTGCCATTAGATGACATAAGAAGAATAAAGCTCAGGTGATTT